CCCCCCCCATAAATAAATAATGAATGAATAACCCTAAGGTAGTGATGTATGCTGCTGTTTCACTATTTGTTGTAGTGATGTATGCTGCTTTTCCACTGTTTGCTGTAATTGCTCTATTTTGTTGATTACTATTGCAAAAAAGTTAAGTAGTAAATTCAGAGTTTTTCCAATATATTAATGAAATAAATATTCATTATAACTTTCATGTGTTTGAATTGAATTTTAGACAGTTAAAAATGAGTCCTGTTGGCTAGTAATCTCTCACTTAGTGTTATAGTGGGGGTGAGGGCTAGCGTTTTTTTGGAAATCATATGCACAATCATTATTTTGTTGAGCTCTATACCATGCACTTTGCTATAGTCCCCTTACTGCTTTAGGAGTGGTACATGTACCCACATGGCAGTGTAGGTGTCTTTGCCCAGTCCATTACTGATGATGAGTTTAATTATAACCATGATAACTACTTGGTATCTTACACATTTATTTTCATCCTTACTTTTAGTCAGGCTTATCTCACCTTTTTATAAATCAAAGCTTGAAATATATCTGTTTTTCAACAAGAACTTTAAGAAAACTTAACACGGTGTTAACTCACTTTTGTCAACAGAATCTCGTATTTCTTTCTCTTGTTTAACACACTGTTGCAGCATTGGGTACAACACATCCAATGGTTTTTTTACATCTGTATTTGACAATATCAAGAACAAAAATTGTCAGAAACATTATATAGTATACTTATTAATAAAACGTTTATTTGTAATAACGCAGTAATTGTTGACCGACACGTGTCGGCTTGTCATAAACAGTTACATTATTACCATAAATATGCATCGAAATTATATTGTCACTTTTAGTGTTCACATTACTTTCATCAAACAAACATGTCACATTAACAAAGCTGTTATATATATTTTTACCTATAATACAGCACAACTGATGACTACATACCATCTTTTACAGACTTGAAGTCAGCCTCAGACGCATTGAACAGCGCTAATGCATTGCAGGCGTCTGTCCACGCTGTTTTAAATACTGCACTAGGTATTGCTGCATCAGTAGCATGTCCTATTAGTTTGTTACGGATCGCTTTAAGATCGTCTAACGCTTTACTTTCAGAACTGAAAGGCAGCACAAATTCCAAAGATGAATATAGCAGCACTGAGGTGAGAAGTGAGAAGTCCCAGTCGTTTGTGTTTCCTGAATTGAACTTTGTTTCTTCATCTTTGAACTTGAATTTCAGTTTGCATGGTTGTATTTTTTTCATTTCTGCTGCATCACGTGGTGTGTCATTCCAAGGGGGTGGTACTGTACCAGGTTTGACACGCTGGTAAACTATTGGCCACTGTGTCTTGAAATACTCTCGTAACTTTTGGTTCCCAACACGGAATAGCAGAAGAGCCAAGCTGAAGTAATTATCCCTGCAATTAAAACAACAAATTGAAGAAAAAAAATTAAAAATCTGAAAAAATGGGCGTCCCACACCGTTTGCAACAAGATTTATAATTGGTTTGAAAAACAATACATAGGATTAAAATGACTAAAGATCGGTCTTCCAAACGATGAAACTAAACCTAACCAAACAATGTGGCAATGAAAAAGCAGGTTCCGAATGATGCAGTCTTACTGTGTAAAAAAGAATGCTCCCTCGCTTGAACAGATTAAATCGTTGCTCAAGACTCATATTTATTTTCAAATTATTTTTTTTTAATGAACACTGGCGACATTTTATATTTTAATTTCAATTCTACATAGAATTATGTTAGTATGTTTTTCCCCTATATTATTCATTTAATTTTGTGTCACCGAGAGCAATGAGTTGTCAGTATAATGTGCTATATAAGAATTTATTATTATTATTATTATCATCATCATCATCATCATTATTATTATTATTATTATTATCATCATTATTATTATTATCATCACCATTATTATTATTATTATTATTATTATTCATTAAAAAAGGATGACGAGTCGATCCAACTCTTCATCATAGACGCCTTTGTTTTAACACCAAAACTAGACTATATGTTTACAATAATTTGCAGATACTTAATAATCTCTGTAACTAGTAATAATTATTGAATATAATTTACTTGTAATGTAATATATTTTACTTTGAGAAGGCGGGCAGTGATTGCAGTCGCTTGAGCCAGACGCTCATGACTTAAAGTCCACGACACCCTGTGCATATTGGAATTTAGAGCTTGATTTTTGTGAAGGGACAACATTTCACCCACCTTTCTTCTTGGCTAGCCATCATAAAGCAAGGTTTATAACAAGATCTAAAAGAGTAAATACAAAAAAATATGTCACACATTTTCCTATGACACGTATTGTTATAACAACCCAGTATGATATAAGTTATTATATATATTATTCTTTTGAGTTTAACATACATGTTTCGGCAGTGACCTCTGCCATCATCAGTGGATGTAAGACTAATTAGCGGTGAGCTATTGCTTACTATCAATCACGTGACTTTTTGGAGTTGACTGGGGGGCAAACAAGCGGTTGACTGGGGGGCAACTAGCGGATGCTAAGTCAAAACATATCAAAATAAGTCCTCAAACTATTGTATTTGACTATTTTCACGACATCAAACCAGAAAAGAAGAGATCAAAACAACYTCCAGGATTCTACAAGCCATCAAAAAAGAGCTATTACCGGAAGTGACGTCTATTGATAGCAACCTATAAATATGAGAATCGTGAACAATAGAATTAACATAAAAGTCAGAGCAACCCTACACGGAGAGCTTAAGTTTAACATGCTTGACTTGTGCATTAAGAATAGGTTTCTCCTAGAGGAAGCGTTAAGGCCGGTTTAGATGGTACGATTTTCGCCTACAACTATTGTATACRACACGCTCGCGCCATCATACAACTCGAGTCGTAGCGTGTAAATCAAGCCTACAACTCGCCTACGACAGACGCGAGCGTGTTGTATACGATATTTGTAGGCGAAAATCGTACCGTCTAAACCGGCCTTAACGCTTCTTTAATTTTAAGCGTAAAATGGGTTTTGGCAGTGTCTAAAATATGAAAACTATCCTCGGTGTTGTTTGAGCAGTTGGGTGAGCTCTTTATATGTCTGTAAATGTGAGAGGCCCTATCCTTTTCCAAATGTTCTTTCACCCGTGTGTTGAATTCCTTGATTATATTCACTTCTGTCAAGTGCTACTACGCCATTGCCTTTGTCCGTTTTTAGGATAACAATKTTTTTTKTTTTTKTTTTTTTTTTTTTTTTTTGTCGTAGATTTTTGGGGACTTTGTGCGTCTTTAGTCTTTTTTAGAAGGCTTGAAATTAGAGACGTAGGAATGTGCCAAATGTGAAAAATCAGAGGTCAATTTTCCTGCCATTTTCTTGTGTTTGATGTTCTTCTGTAGTGTGTTCAGAGCAACTCAAAAGTGAATATCTTGAAGCCTTGAAATTTGGTTTGAATAACTCCATCTGCCCACCAAAGATAAGTAAATCGGATGTTTTTACGTGTTTTGAACTCATTCATCACACACTACAGAAGAACATCAAAGACAAAAAAATGGCAGGAAAATTGACTTTTGATTTGTCACATTTGTATTTTGTATTTTCTTTGTCTCTTTATTTGAACATTTTATGTGAAAGCTTCATGAAGCATGATAAACTCTTTCAAATGTAAACAGGCTAACCAACATAGCGGCATCCAGCTAACATGCTAAAAACCCCTTAGACCGTGCGTGGGGACTGGTAACAAGTCCCCTCTTGAACTGGTTTCCAAAACCAAGATACTAATATACTGAATTGAAACATGTCTCAGTGATTTCAGAGACCTAAGCGAGGTCACTATTGTRCAGTGTTTAACAAAGCCATATACAAATTCTGGGTCCCTATGTGGCTTGATTTCATGTCCAGAACATAATTTCGTCAGTACAGGAGTTGAATCTGTAATCTTGAGTCTGGTGCCTTCACCACCGAACGTCTTCGGCTTCCACGGTGTTGCTGTCTTGCCTTGCTTAGTGGGTGTTGGTGCTGCCAAAGTGTTTGGAGTATCTGTAGAAGGAAGTACTGACTCTGGCATTTCATGATCAGGGGTTGCTGATGTTGGCATAAGTTCAATCGGAGTAACATCTGACAAGTTTCCCGAGAATTGCAACGGAATTGATGTCTGGGGTCGCTGCTGTGCAATGTTGGTATAACGTGATTTAATGTTGTGCTTATTGCGTCTCAGCCTTCTATTACTCTTGTCATTGATGATCCAGTATGAGTCTGAATGGAATCTTTAGACTCAATGTATCCTGGCTTCCACTCATCTGAGTTACCATCGATGAACCATATGGGCTGGTTAGGGGAATAGAAGACTTTGTCATGTTTGGCAGGCTTCACTGAGATGTGCTGAGCGCTTTCCACTAAGACAAGTCTTTTGCTGATCCGTCAGTGGTACCGGTATGGTCCTGCTGAGGCTGGTGTTGATCCGTCTGTTGTGGAACAGCTCTGCAGGTGATGGCAATGTGTCACTCAGTGGGGTGTCCAGGTATGTTGTAAGTGCTTTAGTGATGTCAATTTCATTTGCACTTTTCTTTAACATCTGTTTAACGGTGGCAACTGCTCTTTCTGCTCGCCCATTACTTTGATGGTAGTGTTGACTGGAAGTAATGTGTCCAATATCGAGCTGTTCGCAGAAGTGTCGGAAGCTGTTGGATTAGAAGCATGGGCCGTTGTCAGAGATGATTTTTTCTGGTAGTCCAAACTTCCTGAAGATGTTGTTTAGCACCTTAATGACTGCATCGGTTGTCTCGTTGTTAAGGATGCCACAGGTGAGAAATCCAGAGAAGTAAGCAACTGTGACCAGGGCGTGTTGGCCTTGGAAGTCCAACAAATCCATACCCAGGATTTCCATTGGGCGTGTGGCTGTGATTTGTCGTTCTGAGGGTCTGGTCTTCTTGTCACCATATCTTGGGCATTCGTCACACTTTTGGATCATTTCTGTGATGACATCCTGTAACTTTGGCCAATACACTGTGCGTCGTGCACGTTGAAGTGTTGAGGTGAGACCCTGATGTGCATCATGCAGGCGATCGAGAATTCCAGGTCTCATCCCTGTAGGAATGATGACTCTGTTTCCTTTCATGACAAGTCCGTCCAGGATTGTCTATTCATCTCTCACTCATGTTTCAGTGTCTCGCACTCTTAGGTCATCTAATAAAGGCTTTTTTGTTATACCTAAGTATAAATTACAAACCTATGGATCACGTGCTTTCTCAATCTCCCTCGTGTTATTAGATCATTAGATTATTAGATGCTATTAATTGTAAATTCTAGTTTTCTTAGTTGTTAATACATAATATTTTTTGTATATTATTTTTGATAATGTTGTAAAGCACTTTGGAATTCTAATGTAAAGGGATCAATAAAGTTATTGTTATTATTATCGCAAGGAGTTCCCGCTCTAAATTCGAATAGTTCATTTCTGAAAGTGTGAGTGCCTTACTCAGGAAGCGCGCAGGTCTGCCATCTTGGATAAGACCTTTCTGAGATGCATCAGTTTCGATGACAGCTTAATTGTTTGAGTCGTAATGGATAAATTTGGAAGCGTCCGCGATGCCTTACTTGATGGTATTCAGTTCCTTTTGCATGTCACTGGTTCATATGAAGTGTATGTCTTGTTTCAGCAGACTGCGCATGAGGTGAGTTTTCTTGGTCAAGTTCCCAGTAGGCTTTGCAGCTCTTGTTTATCTGTTGGGGCAACAAGTGCTTGGATAGCCTTGACCTTTTTCGGAAATGGAGCAACACCTTGCGGAGTATTAATACGTCCAAAATACTCAATTTGCTGTTTCTTAAACGCACTTGTTTTGGGTTAATTTAAGCTGCTTGGCTTGCTTTTTCAACAGTTTCCAATAGATGGCTGTCATGACCCTCTCCTATTGAACCTTGTATCTTAACATCGTCTCCACACGGGAATGTGCCAGGGATGCCAGACAAGATTTKATCCATGTGCTCGCAGAAGATTTCCGCAGATACTGATAGTCCAAGTGTTAGACGCAGGAAGCAATATTTCTTGAATGGTGTATTAAATGCGGTGAGTATCTGGCTCTGCTGATCGAACTGCTTGGTCCAGTACCCACTCTTCTCATAGAGTGTGGAGAAGTACAGACCATTCTTGAAGCTGTGTATAACATCCTCCCAAGATGCAGTGTAGTGGACGTTACGGATGAGGTATTTGTTCAGATTTCTTGGATCAAGACATAAATGCAGAGTTTCATCCTTCTTTACGACAATTACTAGGTTGTGCATCCAGTCTTTAGCTTTGGCTTAATACTTTGGGGCACGGCACGGGGTGGTAGCTGAACCGGTTTAGCATCAGGTGAGAGTACGAGTCTAGCCTCACCTTCAAAGAGACCGACCTGGCCATCGAAGGTCTCGGGGAAAATCTGCTTGCGGTCCTCCAGATAGTCTTCTGTTTTCCTCCCAAGTGGTAGATGCTTCTTCCATTTCTTTTGGAGCTGATTATAGTTGGCTTCTGGTTCACCAGTGATGTGTACAGCCTCTATCTGGTTAGGATCCACGGATATGCTTTGCTGTATGCAAACAGGTGCGATTGTCACTGGCTCAAGCTTCTTACAGAATCCAAGACCAAGAATAAAGGCACATCCATGTTTTGTAATGTAGAACCTGGTTTTTGCAATGATGTTGTTGCAGGTGACATTAACATTAACATTCCACAGTTTTGAAGGTCTGCTCCTGACTTTCCCCGGATGATGGCTGATTATGTGAATGTTGATCTGATTATGGTTATTGGATGAAATACAACTGGAGCAAATACTTCACGCGATTTGCTGCGGCCTAACGTATGAACTGTTACCGGTGTTGTATCGAAGTCATCTTCATATTCACTGCTAGTAATGTCCTGGTCGGGTGACACAATGACATGCTCGCTCAAAGTGTTCTTGATACAGAATCTGCATGTTGCATCCTTGGCTGGACACTTATCGCGGGGATGGGTGTCCCCTAGGCACCAGATACAGCTTTTCTTTCCATCGGATTTATCACTGTTTGTCTGTGGCCTGGGCCTGAACTGTTTTTTCTTCTATCCATTTCTTTGTGATTTCCTGGTTGGGTCCCGTGTGTATGACGCATCAATGTGAATATCACTAGAGCCTATCATAGTAGCGTCAATAACAGCCTCAAATCTTCGCATGATGTCCAAACAGTTCTTAATTGTCATACCTTATTTTCCCATCAGTTTCCGTTTACACTCCCTGTTTGTACAGCCATGGGTGAGCTTATCCACAATAAGAAAGTTGGAGTTTTCTGGAAACTCAGCTTGACGATATAGGTCCATGATTTGAGAGTAGTAATAAATTATGCGTTCGGTGTATATATAATGAAGTAGAGAGAATAAGAGAAAAATATCAAATGCCCTTGGCAGGATT